CGTTCGGTAGTTTAATTAAGTAAAAGTAAAGTAAAAGTAACTAAATAACGTAAATAAAGTAACGTAGTACCTTACTACGATACGCGTGACACTATATATATATATATATATATATATATATATATATTATACTCAACTCAAGTTTGAAGCCGAATGATCCTCTCTTTCCATTTATATTGATCATCAGACTAATTAACATATGGGAAAAGTTTATATAGAGCCGAGAATCTAAACAATCACATTAGAGCCTACCTCAAAGTTTTCATTAGAAGAGGTTGTTTTGATGCCCAAATATCATCAAATTGATCATCTCAACATCAAGATGCATAGACATGAGAAAAAAATGGATTTTAAGTTTTGTAAATAGTGTATTTTGTAACGCATTTTTGGACCGTCAATTTTCAAGATTTTGAAGTTTTCATAGATCTGTTGATCTATACTATTTTTGAAGTTTTAAAGTTTATAAATAAAAATGAAAATACATTTTTAAGTTATCACAGATTTTTCGTATTGAAACCGCATTTCTCTTGAAGGTAGGCTCTATACTAGCCGCACCCCTTAAAAATTAAATTTTAAAATCCAACTCAAAAATAGATTTATTAAGAGGCCCGCATTTCTACATATGCGGGCTTGACTACATAGAAACCGGGTCCATCTATTTTTTGTGTTTAGAAATAATGATCTTGTGATTAATGGTCAATCATGAAATTTCATATTGAAAAGATCCTTATAGCTAGCTATTTCTTCAATAATGTACTTATAGCTAGCTATTTCTTCAATAATGTACTTCCACAAGAGCTATAAATCCTTTCTCAAAATTTTGTGAATGGAATCTGTCTTGATCTTCACAACTTTTTTTTTTTCTTTTCCATATTTTATACCCCTTAGAAAAAACAATTTTATAATAATCCTATCCTAATTGACGATAATGTCTTCTCTCTAAACCATCCAATTTTACATCTAATGAATGTGGGTAGTTGTGACCTCTACGAAAAGAAGACAAGGATTATTATAGAATTAAAATTTTCTTTGGAAAAATTACATAAATATCCGTTTTAGTTTACTTATTATTAAAATATCAAATACTTTCCGTTATTACTGATATGTTCGTTTTTTTAACTTCATAATATTTTTTTTAAAAAAGACAAAACAACCTATTATCAGTTTTTCAAAAACCGAAATCAAACCAATTTTGGTTTTTGAAAAACCGAAATTTTAAAATTTTCGGCTACTTCAAGAACCAAAAAATGTTTCTATCTCTTGTGGAGTATTCTTTCTCTACCTCTCGGAAGTTATAATTATCCGATAAAATTAAAGGGAACAACTAATTTGAACCCTAATTTTAAAAAAAATCTACGGGATTATAAGATTAGAGATCTCGAAACAGCCTCCTTTTTCTTTCTATACGCCCACAGCGTAGGTTCCTCTCTCTCATCCTTCCTCTCTTACAACTTTTCTCTCTACTCCCCCATTACGGGAAATGAGCTTTGTGTCAGTCCCCTCCCTTTCCTTCCAAATTAAAAACTCAATTTTCCACACTTCTGCAACCACCCAATCCAACCCCAACTCAATCTCCCAACACTTTTGCAACTACGCCCCAACTCAATCTCCCAACACTTTTACAATCATCCAATCATACTCCAACTCAATGTCCCAACACTTTTGCTCCCATCGATGCTCTTCCTCGTCATTAATACGCTTGACCGCGGTAATTGTGGCCTCTCGAGAGAATCGATGATTGTATCCTCGATGCATTGATAGTACATTTCTTGAAAATTATGAATTGGCTAGTTGTAACCAGGGCTATCGAATAAAAGATTATCCCCGGATCTACACCAAGGTATTGACTTGACGGTAATTTTCAAATATCGCAGAATGTGATATGATGATATAGAAAGGAATAGAAACAAGGACAGGGAACGGGTTACCTACTCCTAACAGTCAAAGCGATTCCTTTAATGAATGAATCTCCCCAAGTAGGATTTGAACCTACGACTAGTCAGTTAATAGCCGACCGCTCTACCACTGAAATACTGAAAAACAACGGGAGATGGCCTGATTCAAAGGCGAATTTGCAATTGCAAAATACCATTATAAACCTTCTATCCTCACTTTCGCTTGGTTTCGATAGGCCCTCTCGATAGGATTCAGTTTTGGCTTGTATGAGAATGGAAAGTTGATGACCCATCCCATGATGACCTACCTTCAAGAAGACATCTTTCGTCCCTCTATCAATAAGCGGGGCGAAACTTACCCGAAAAAAGACATTGGGTGAAGGGGAGAGAGAGTTAAAAAAAAAAACCTATTTTTACCTTGTAATGTAAAGAGAGTGAGGTAGAGAGAGAATACGTAACGAACCCACAAGAGAGAAAAAATTTTGATTGTTGAATAACGAAAAATTTTAAATTTTTATGATTTTGGTTTTTAATAATGACAAAAACTAAAACAGATATTTACATAATTTTTTTTATTTTTTAAATAGAGAAAACAAATCTCACTAATCAAAGTTTTTAATCTCAAATTCAAGACTCTCTCTCTCTCTAGAAAGAGAGAGAAGCAATTCTCTCTCTCAGTCCTGTCCAAATTGGATTCTCTCTTGCCGCAATTGCCTGTCACTCCACTCCAATTAATTTATTTATCATCCCTCTTGTGAAGTAGAGAAAAGCAAACCTCTCTCTCTGTACCCATTAACCTCGTTCGAGTTTCTCTCTCCTCCAAAAAGTGAGCTGTCTCTTCCAAAATCATGATAAACGTCATTAAGCTCACATTCGAGTTTCTCTCTCCTCCAAAAAGTAGATCTCTCTCTTCCAAAATCACGATAAAAGCGAGAAAGGGGAAGAATTGCAATAAATAAGCGTGAAACAAGTGTAGTCTCTCTCTTCAGCAGTCGACCATGTAGAGAGATCCCCAATCCCTTCAATCTTCTCAATTTATACTCTTTCTTTTGTCGTTATGAAGATGAAGGAGCTGAAACGGTTGGTTGCTGTTTTTGTCTCCTTTGGGGTTTTCGCCATGGTTATCAATCTTCGCAGCAATGGCCCCTTCTTTGATTCCAAGGTGATCATCGAAATCTCCATTTTTTATTCCTCTTTTGTCCTCTTTTTCTCCATTAAAATTTCTGATCTTTATGCCCTATGCTCTAATGGAGTATCTTTCTCTCTCTCTAGGAAGCAAATTTGCTTCCTAATTTTAACAAAACAGTGGTGTTGGAGAAACCACAGTTGAAAGCCATTAGAAAGGAGATTTATCGCCAGCTATGGCGACACCCTGAACCAGTTCTACAACCTTGTTGGGACAAGCATCTGGCCAGTAAGTCTCCCTTTGCTTTCTGAGTTTTATTGGCTTGATCACCTCTTCATCCTTCTGCTTTACTAAGGTTAGTGTTTTCGGTGCTGCCGCTTTATATGTTGGGATTTTAGTCTGCTTATTCATTGGTTCCTTGCTTTTGAAATTCAGAGAATTGCACTGATGTACCCTATTCTACTATAATACCATTTTAAGATGATTAATTTCATGTAATTTTTAGGCATTTCTGTCGTATGATGGAGCTTTGATGCTTGAATTAAAAGATCCAACCTTTGACAATTGTTTGATTGATTTCCTTACTGGTATCTTTTTTTTCCTTTTTTTTTTATCACTGGCATGAAAGCCCATAATCAATTGTTGATCCCTACTGTAGTTATGTAGACTTCCTTTCCTTATTGAGTTCTGGAAGAACACAGATTTCACCAATCAAATTACCCATACATACAGATGTTTAATGATGAATTCTGGCTTTTCTTCAGTGCTGAAGACCAAGCCTTGGGGATTTTTAGGTGTTAGACTCTCGAAAGGTCCACATTACCATCGTATCCAGGTATTTCTTTTGCTATGAGATTCAGTTGCTTTTAGAACATTCACACACATGTGCAAATATGTATTGTTATTGTTAGTGAAGTAAGCTATCAATCTTTTGCATGGTGAAATAGTTGTTTCATGGTCAAGTATTGTTTGAGGATGAAGACTCGTTGTGGGTAATGAACTAATGATGTTCCTTAAGATTAGGACTGAACTAATGATATTCCTTAAGATTAGGACTTTTTTCCCATTTCAGTGGAGGTGACGAAATCTGCATTTGGGAGGTGACGAAGTCTGCATTTGGGAGGTGACGAAGTCTGCATTTGGGTTGTGACTTTGTTAAGTGAAACCCTAATATATGTGTACATCAGCAAAAGAAGGGAATTGTGGGATTGTGGTGTACCAAATTACCATTTTTCACTCGTTTGCAGTGAAAGTGATGACAAGTAGCTTTCCTCACTGGTTAAGGCAGCAATCCTCAAACCTGTTGAAAACTTTTACCTCTTGATAACAAGTTAACATGTTCAAGAAAAAACTTTTACCTCAATAAAGAAGGCTTGTTATACGACAAAAGTAACATTTTTTTTTTTATAATGTTAACTTTTAATTATAGTAATAAAGGAGTACAGAATTTGGGAAAGAAGAGGCTAACCACAAGGCGGAGAGCGCAAAGTACAGAACCCTTATGAAAAAAGGGGCTGAGAGAGAATAGAATAAAAAAGCCATCTTTTTAGGAGTTACAATGAAAGCATCAAAGCAACCAGCAAAAAGATGTCGATCCCAAACAAAAAAAAAAAATAATGACCAACTTGTGCCGCTCCTTCCTTAACGAGTGTGTCTGCTGCTTGATTTTCTTCCCTCCAGATATGCCGCCATGAGACGTGCATATTGCTGCAAAGATGGTGAATCTCATAAAAAATATGAGTGAAGATCCATGGCGGGAAAGAAGATTTGGAAGCCCATGCAATGATGTTCTTGGAATCTTCCTCAATGGTGAAGGATTCAGAGTGGATGGGGAGTAGTAGCCTAACCCCCTCAACGAGCACAGTTGCCTCTGCCTCCATAGAGTCTGAATGACCTATAAATTTGGAGATGGAAGAATAGAGCCTGAGTGGTCCCTGAGAATCGCCCCTATACCAGCAGGCCCAGGATTTCCGGGTGAGCACCCATCAAAATTAAGTTTGAAAAGGCCTGGCTCAGGAGGTCTCCACAAAGATGCCCGAGGTAGGCGCTTGTTACTGTGTTGTAAAGTCTAGGCCCAATCCAGGAGAAAGGCTGAGGAGGGAAACCCTTTGAAGTTCTTGTGATTGGTTGCCCAAAACACAATAGAGGATTTCAGCTTGGTAAAAGGTATTGTACTAGAGAGAGTGCTCTCCCTGGAAAATCCTGTTATTTCGCTCAATCCAAATGGCCCAAATAGTAGCTGTCACTGCTGATTTCCATAGTAGAATACCTGACTTAGGCCAAGGATAAGGTTGCACTGATGTAAGAATGAGGGGTACTGAGGCAGGTAACACCCACTTACATTGAAGAGACCGAGCAATTTGCCCCAAATACTAAACGCATACGGGCAATGGAGAAACAAATGAATATTGGTCTCCTCATCATTCATACAAAGAGCACAACAATTCGGTAAAGGAATGCTGCGTCTTTGGACCATGTCCACAGTGAGGACCCTCTGACGTCTTTCACCCTGCAAGAATAAATAAATAAATAAAATAGAAAACAAATTATAGCACTTTGCTACATCATTGTGGCTTGCTGTCCTTAATAGCTTTTCTAGGGGAAATTCATTTGATTTTTCTTTTTCCATTGGTTTTCAAGTGAACAGGCCTAAGTATTGTTCATGAACTCAGCATATCTATATTTGCCCACTGTCATGTGTCTAGGATGTTTTAAATCTGAAACTTACATGCCTAGTATTTTAACCGTGACATCATGGCTTGCTGTCCTTAATAGTTTTTCTTGGGGAAATTCATTTGATTTTCTTTTTTCCATTGGTTTTCAAGTTAACAAGCCTAAGTATTGTTAATGACCTCAGCATATCTATATTTGCCAAGTGTTGTGCGTCTATGATGTTTTAAATCAGAATCTAGCATGCCTAGTATTTTAGCTGTAACAATACACCTATGTTTCTAATGCTAAGTGCACTCACAGGTGGCTGAGGCAGTTGTGATAGCAAAGTATGTAAGTGCTACTTTGTTATTACCAACAATTAAAGATGGTGATAAAGAACCCAACGGGTGAGTTCTTTTAGAAGCTTGTTCTCAAGCTCCATTTCCTCTTCTACTTTTATACAGTAATTTTTGCAAATCTGAAGTGAAGATTGTTTCTTTAAAACAGTAAATTCGAAACAGAATGAATGCTTAAACCTGTCCCCAAGTAGTTCATAAGTCAAATGAGCACCGAACCTAATAAGATCCTGATGCGCTCGAAGTTCTGCCTGTTTACAATCCGGCATACTAAGAGGACCATCAGAAGAATGGTGTCCTATACCAAGTTTGGCATATTGTGATTCCAAGCCCCAATAAGTTCGGTATCCTTGTTGCACTTAAATCAAACTTAATTATCAAAAAAAAAAATCTTCGGTGAAAATTGAATTTCAAACCTCACTCTTCCAGATTATTAAGTATATCATTCTTTCTTTGTAAATTGTCAAAATTGTTGAGATCTGCTGCTTATTTGGCAGTGCAGTCATATGCTACATTTCTTACAGTTAATTAACAATGAATTTGTTTTTGTCTTGAATCTTATTTACCATTTCACATGCAATTCTTTTATTGTTGACAGCTTGACTGAACCTTCACTAGATATGCAGGCAGTTTGACAACATTTACCACCCAACTGCATTTATAATGGGCCTGCAAAATGTATTGAGAGTTGTAGGTCGCCTCCCGGAGGACATGAGTTCCGTCACTCCTACAGTTATCAATGTTCCATATGGAGCAACTCCCAAGTACATAGAAGAAAACATTCGCCCCATCTTCAGACAAAAAGCTCTAGTAATCATAGACAATTTTTTCTATAGTAATAAATTGGAGGAAGCACAACCTGAACTGGAGGCCTTGAAGTGTCTTGTTATGTATAAAGCCCTTAAGTTCCACCCAAACTTGATTAGACTTGGAAATCATATAATTGATCGAATGAGAGAGGCAGGTGAAGTAGCTGATGGACGCTTCATTTGTCTTGACTTGCGGGTTGAATACTTACTCCGAAATGGTTGTAATTTCAGCATGAATGAGGGTGATATTTTGGATAATAAGAAATGTGTAAATGTAAGTTATATTGGAGGATTTTTGGAGCATATTGGGTTCCCGGAAGATACGGCCATATATTTGACACAATCTCGATGGGATATGAGGCTGAACCCTCTAGGAAAAACGTTTTTAAATATTCACACAAAGGTATGACTTGTTTCTTTTCTTCTTTGAGCTAATTATCTCTTTCACTTTCATCTCTCATCAAGATAGCCTTTTTTTTTTTGGGGCCAGGGGGGTGAACACATTCCTTCAACTGTAAATCTTGAACTATCTACATTATGAATAGAAAACTGCCCCATATTATATTAGAATTACAGTGGCAGCATGACTAAATCTCTCTCTTTCTCATAGTTTTCTTGACCGTTTATTGCACAATGTTTACTCGGATTGTCTACTGCTTGTGTCCTGCATTATTTCAATCATGTACATCACTGGCCGTGCACCACATACTGCACCTGCATCTTGTACTTCCTGTCACATAATACTAGTTGCAGAACAGACTTAGCTCTTTTTGAACACCAGGGTCTTTACTGCAGAAGTAGAAGCAGAATAGAACAGTTTAACACTTTCAAAAAAATAATGGTCTTTTTACTAGGCATGATCAATAAGATCTTTCTAGTTGGCATGTCAATAATCTATTATACTTAAAGTGAAAGATCAAGTCATGGGTTCTTTGATTGAGAATGATTTTCCTGATCGATAATGATTTTCATTTTCTAATGTCATGTTGAAACTCAGGAACATGTGGACGTCATTAGGTAATATATCTTGAATAAATCTAGCAGGTGTTTTCAATTGTTGGAATTGAATATTGCATCTGACTAAATTCAATCTAGCAGGTGTTTTCAATTGTTAGAATTGAATCTTTCATCTGACTAAATTCAATACCTAGGAATGAAAGTTAATTATTGCATTCTTATCTGTTTCTCATGATCTTGAAAAACTTCTAGTAAAATCTCATTATTGCATTGTCACAAAACGAATGAGAACTTTTTTAAGGTTCTTCAGACCATGCAGCATCTTTCTGCACAAATCAAGACTAAGGCCTGGTTCATTTCAATTTGAGATAGAAAACAAGGAAACTCATCCTTATCTTTTATTTATTATTCAGGAATACAGCATGCCATTCAATGAAGAAAAGCAGATTCTTTACTCCGGGAACACTCGGTTTGAGAGGGCCCTGGACTTTTATATATGTAGCAGAAGTGATGTCTTTGTGCCTGCATCCTCAGGCATGTTCTACACTCACGTTGCAGGAGAGAGAATCCTTTTGGGAAACACCCATATACTTGTTCCTTTCCGCAGGTGCAGTTCTCTCGCTAAAGACTGCCCCATGTCCAGGTATGTTACAAGAAGAGAACATTTTGTGTACAAGTGTGCATGTGCTTTCAATTATACAGAGCCTTAGAACCGGTAAACCTTCATACGATTTTTCAAGGAAGCCTCAGTGTTCTTTATGGGCAGAGATTGTAAATTTTTTCCGAGAATTAGTAATTGTATTATATTATGATTAATCTTCATTGTAGTCCTATCTTTTTTCAAGTGTTTGGCCTCTGAAGGTCACATATTGGTCAAATTTGTTGAATACTGAATGGTTCTTAAACAGAGACAGAAGCCGAACTTTTATATTTCAGTCCGGATTTTAGCTGAAATTTAAACCCTGATTTTCTTTTTAAAAAAAAACAATAGAGGGAAAAATGGGGGATCGAGAGCTTTGGCTTATATTCAAACAAAATAGGATGAGTTATAATTCAGAAGGGTGCTAACAAAGAAAATGTGCGAATCAATCTCTGATTCTCAATTCGGTTGAGGAAGAATGATTGATGCATGGACGCTGTCCTCTACACCCATAACATTGGTCTTGGCTGTTGGCCGAATCTGAAATTGGGTCAAAATTCACGGAAATTTGGTCCTGGGTCTCAAGTTCTCTCCATGATCAAGTCCTGAATCCATTTCAGTTTTTCAACAGTGAGCTGTCGTTTAAACCTAATCACGTATCCAATGAGCAAAGTTTTGAACTGAACATTACCCAAAATGGTTAATCAATATATTTGATCCAAGAGAGAGCATATTAGAAGACATCATTTGTCCCCCTATTGTTTTTTTCAGTTCGACATAACTCGCGAGGCTGGAGGTGTTCTACTGGTCGCTTTCATAATTTTTTTCGAACTCCATTGCAAAGATACAACACATCCCTCTTATACTAAAGGAAAACAGTCTTATAATTTATAATCCCTTGCAACGCAACTAATGTCACAAGAATGGTAATTTATAATCCCTTGCAACTAAGGTTACAAGAATGGCTTCTGAACAATCTCACTGTCCTTGAAATTTGATTGGTGGTTGCCAAAGACCAGTTGTTGATCATCGACTAGGCACATAACGAAGATCGAGGCAAGAACAAATAGAGAGCTTTATTTTGTCACTCTATTTAAATCTTTTTATTTTTATTTTGTAGGTTTATACTCACATATGAGGCTTTACATCAAGAACAATTATACAGTAAGAATAAAAGTATGCAATAAAACGTTGATACAAAAATTACCTTACCGTTAACTGCGCTCAAATGCTAGGAAAATATTTCAAACACTGTGAGGGAAAAACGACACATTGTAGACATACAATTTTACATTTTATTGCTCGAGGTGTTATGTGACCTTTGCGGATGAAAGCTAATGATCATTGCATATAATCTTAAGTTACATCTGGAGAGAGTGCGAGACAGAGACTCAGAGAGAGTTATATTAATCTGAACTCAACTGCTCTGCAAGGAAATCCACAGGTAAAGAACCTAAAGGAACTGACTCATCTATTACTTCAAAATCCTCACCAGAATCATCATCATCATTATCATCATCATCATCTTCGAACTCCCAACTTTTACCAGAGGAGTCTTCCTCCGATATCTTGCCTGCTTCAGCTTCAGGTAAAACTACAGCAGGATAAGAATGCTCCATTGCTTGAGACACATTCTGGAACTCCTCAACTTTCTTTAAAAGAGCATCAGGATCAAGGTTTATCTCTTCAAGGAACAACGCTTTCCTTGACTCTATTGCACTCTTCCACAAGGACATCATTCTCTTGCTTTTGATCTTAGGAGAGCTTGCTCCCACATCCAACCCAACCATTTGATCTGAAACTGCAGCAAAAATTAAGAAGGTGAAAATGATGATATTATGCACAAGGGGCACTTTTGCATTAGGAAAAGGATTCTATGAGTTTGCAGGTACAAAAAGCCCGCTGACTCTTCAACATCCATCTTTAAAATCGATGTTGTTTTAACTGCTTGAGGTCAAATCAGATATGGACGGTGCAAAAACATCCCAAAAAAAACACATTTTAAAGTTTCAATTTTTTTTTTTTTTTTTTTTTTTCATATTTATGATCAGCTTGGCTTTAGATGATGAATCCCTTAAATTTTGGATAAAAAATCCATCTTTAGAGTGAATTTTAGAGGGGGGCTGCACATGTACATATGAGTCGGCCGACTCATAGAAACCCCCTCCTTTGCATAATGTGTACTAGTAAGAGGCACAAGCCATGCAAGTTTTTATCTTTTTATCAAGACAATTACAACGTTGAGAGGTAAAAGTATAAAAAGAGACCATTTACTTTTAATATAAAAAAGCCACAATCACTCTTGCTGATTAGATTTCCAGTGGTTATAAGTGTGCCATTGAATAGACTCAAAGTTCAAAAAACAATTTCTTGAACTTTGTAACACACGCTAAACAAATCCAAATTTACATCTAATGGCTAGTAGTAATTATGACCTCTTTGTAACAAAGATAAATGATCTCATAATATGCATTCTCATACATAAAATATTTATTTCCAAAGAAAACTTAATTTGGTATTTCCAGTGAAGTGTTTTTTTCTATGTTTTATTGTCTGGGTGAAGTTAATAATCCTCAAAACAGTTAATTTCCAGTGAAGTTAATAATCCTCAAAACAAGAAAGAACCTCTTTTCACGTTTATTGGAAATATACATTCCTCAGCTTGGATAAAGATAAAAGTATTTATCAAAGAGTGAATGACCATTACAATGCTAAGATGCAACAAATGCATTAAAAATTATATTTGGAAAAAGAAAACTGAATTTGTCGTTTCTAATGAAGTTAATAATCCTCAAAATAGGAGAGAAATTCTTTTTATGAACATCTGAAATATATAAAACGTAGTTTGGATAAAGATAAGTGTTTATTAAAGAGTGCTTTTCTAATCAATTACATTTTATGTTGTTTATTAAGTGGGAAATGTTTCTATACTTCCCAATAGAATATTTATTATAGGAAGAGATAGAGATTGCGTTGAAGTAAAGGCAGTTACCCTAAACTCCCACTTTGTCTGATTCCCTTTGTAGGTACCCTACCCTAGTCTCTCTTTCCATCAAGGGGTCCCACTCTCTTTGAATAACATGTGTCCCTAGCTCTAATGTGCCTTAATAGTGTACATAAATAGATATGCGTAAGGGTACTTCAATTTCTTTGCTTTTAAGGGCAATTTAGCTTCATTTCAACAGTAGCATAACACACACACGTACACACTCCGGATTGGGTAAAAGAGTTCCAAATTTTCAATTTGATGGATGATTAAGAAATGCCTATGATGGCCCAAGGTGCAAAGGTATCTTACTGGACTAAGCTCTAAAGATGCGAAAGAAATACAATCAAATATAAAACCAATATTTACCAAGGTTTTCGGCTCCAGTTGTGTCGTCCGAAGACAAGAGGCTCGTGTTATTCAAGTTCGAATAATAGGTACTATTGTCACCTGTAAATCCATATTCCAAAATTATTATTCACTAAATCATAGAATGACTGAGCCATCCATGCGAAGTAATGAAACTATATCACAATGGTGACTACCTGAAACTGTAGGTGGAGTATCCTGATACATAGATTTCCAATCTTGACCCCTCCACATTAGTATCTGCTCATCATCAAAAGAAAGAAGAATACAAGGAACCAGCTCCTGTGAACCACCACAAGAACAATGGCAGAGAATGGTCCCAGTCAGAAATACGAAAGAGTACCCAATTCCATGACAATGGAAGTTTGTAAGAGATCTATCCAATTACCTTGGTGAAATAATATCACTATTGTAAAATAACAACATATTTCATATGTTCCTTTTCTTTTTGACGAAAAATAAGATGATCTTGCAAATTCATAACAGATGCAAGAATTCAGGAGTTTTAAGTTCATTATCTATAGCAATCAGCTGATTCAATTCAGAGAAAAGAAACAAATTCTATGGCAAGATTGGTTTAATGTACTGACAGACTTGATTGCCATGAAAGTGCACACAATTTAGCATTGCTAGATCATTTTCATGGAAGCCTCAGGACTCCATGGCTATCGTCGAAGAAAAATCAACCGCCACTTCCTTGTAACCTATAATTCAAGAATAGATATGCATGCTTCAAGTGCAACATAAGGTTCTTCTACGATCGTCACGGATCCTTGTGGGAACGCAATTCACAAATCGTCATCATTTCAAATATCAATTCAATCCTTTTGACAGGACTGTACAAAGTATTTGAAGGAAAAACAGATCTAGAAAATCAACAGAAACATAAGTAATGCAAGTCCAATTCAAAGCAAGCTAGCTAATGTAGCTGGATAGTCACCATCTAACCTTGAGTTTGGCTCCTAGCTTTTTGTAATCACTTGCATGCATTCCTTGGCAATTTATTTTAACTATACTTGATGCTTCAAAAGCGTCCCTCACATCTTTTACAAGAGTAATATATACTCCATTTTTTGCTGCAAGAAAAAAAACTAATGTGAGGCAGAACACAAGAATGAACTAAGCCTATACAACAATCCAAGTGGTTGATATGAGAGCCCCTTTGCCCCACCTTACTGGATGGATAACAACAACACTAACTGAGCATTAAAATAAGAGATAAAAAGACAACTAGATATATATTGCATATACTTTTGGTATAAGGACGTCATAATCATTCTTAGCCATTAGATGTGAAATCCTATAGATTGAAGTATGTCACAATATTGAAGAAATTTTTGTTTTGAACTTTGTGCCTAATCAATGTCACATCCCCAACGACCCGATCACATTTACCAGTCAATAATGATCTGTGACCTCCTTATACCAAAAGCAATGTTCCGAGACGTGGCCGACTCCATGAGTTACACATACTCGCCCATTAGACTCGGCCGAGTCCACAAGTTACTCATGCTTGCCTTATGGGCGAGGCCGAGTTGGGGCAAGTTCTTCGACAACTCGCCCCACCCTTATATATGTCGTAAAAAAATAATAATAGTAGCAAAAAAAATGTAGGAATATTGGGAAACACCATTATATTAGTTAGAATTAAGTTTGAGGAAGTATATAATGAGACCATTTATCTTTGATACAAGGTGGTCACAATGAATCTTGACCATTGGATGTGAAATTCGGTGGCTGCATTTATTTCATTGACCAAGCTCAAAGTTCAAATGAAATTTTCTCAAAATTTGTGAAACCCCCAAGCTATCAGATTTCCAATCGGATGGCTGTAAGTAATTGTGACCTCCCTGTATCAAAAGTAAATGATCTCATTGTTTACAATCCCATTAAGTTTTTCGATGATTTTGGTAGTTTTTAAGATGATTTGAGAACTTTCATATTTTCCCCCTTGTTTCTACATTGTTTTGAAATATTCAAAATCTAAATGAAAATTTTCAATAATCCATATTTTATAGAAATTTTTCATGTTTTTAGTCTTGTAATGCTTTCTATTACCTCTTCTTCTTTTTTTATTACTTTAACTAACTCTTAAAAAAAATTACCCTTTTTTTATTTTTTTTTGGTTATATCTCAGTTACTCACCTTGGCCAATGGCTGAGTACCATGGCCTAGACAACTCATGAACCTTGACCGATACTAAATGGCCTTATTATATACATATTTCCTTTCTTATGTTTCTATGAGACGCAAGGCAATAAGCAGTTACCAAGTTTGCATATTGGCAACAGATTCTTCCCTTTCTTTCTCAGCTCATCGGCCTCTGATTTTGTCAAACCTTCTGGAGCTTCTTGTATGAGCTTTGGATAGACAGGAGTAGCAGGCTTCCAAAGCATTATGGGGTAGCGTGGACGAGTTCGATGATCATAATTCCGTCCACGAAAAAGATAAACAACACCACCCATTCGGAGGATAATTTTTCCCCTTGTCCTTTCCTGGAATTATATCAGAAAAGAGAGCAATAAATAAACCAAAGGTCATATTTAACAAACAGGAACCTGGATATTATGACAAGTACAAGCAACTTTTTTTTTTCCTACTGCGATTTAAAAATTATCCAAGACATCATGAGAATAGTAGCAAAGTTTCAAAAAACGCTAGGTGACCTGCCTGGCGCCCAGCGCCTAGGTGGGCACCCAGAACCTCGAGCGCCCCATAGTTTTAAAAAAACAAGAAACGCCTAACCCGCCCCGGCACCCCCCCAGGCGCCCGCCTAGCCTGCCTAGGCGCCCTCCCAGGTACATCCGCTCTGGGCGCCCGCCTAGGTACATCCACCCGTGTAGGGCCGCCTAACTCTAGGAGAGTGGATTTTTGGTCCAGGCCGCCTAGGCGCCAAGCATACTGTTTTTTAAAACATTGAATAGAAGAGGTCTTTCAACCCTGAAATTGAAAAACAAATTTGTGCATGAAAAGAAGTGCAAGTTTAAAATGTGCAAGGCAGCCGACAACTAAGTTTCAAATTGATAAGTTAAGGCTTTATCAGACATATCTTCTGATTTAGGCTTGTAGTCATTAGTTTTAAATCCTCGAGTTTAAATGCATCAACGAAAATAACTAGTAAAAGAAGTCCATCAACTGTGAGGTACATAATATATGCAACTAAGATATATTCATGAGACAAACCTCATTGAGACTCTACCATGAACAAGAAATGTCTAAAGCATATTATATTTCTAAGGTTTCTTCTATTGCATGAACAAGAAATGTCTAAAGCATATTTTGACTGAAACCCAGGAGAGGAAAAAACATTCATAAAGTTCATACCATTTTTAATATTGCAGAAACTACAGACTATGGAACTATGCTCAAGCTAGGGATCAACATCTCCTTTACTTCCTTCCCCCTTCCGCCCCACCCCACCGCCCCACCCCACCGCAGCCCCCGTGCAAACAAAAAAAAAAAAGAAGTTTAGTAACAGGTACCAAAATTTCTACCTCAAGGTGATGGCACACATTGTCCATGTCAACAGTTGGAACACCTTTGCATCGAACCTTACACACCGCCTGCCGTCTCCAATGTGAGTGTATTAACTCAAGCATATTATGAGTCAAGCCATCCCTCCCTATAAATTACAGCAAAACCATATCACAAGAACACCCAACAAAATATTACAAGTTAATTTACAGTTGCCTCTCCTCAAAAATAAACATTACAAGTTAATTTCTTCATTGGCTGCACCAAAAACAAATTTCATAGAAAGAAAAAGACCATCAAAATGGAGCTCTCAAAAAGTTGAATCAACCAATGCATTATTAATTAGTGCACACATACTTTTTCCATTAAGCAGAGTTAGCCGTCGAGACCAAATTCGGAGCATTTTCATCCCGTAATGATCAATGTGTTCATATCAACCAAAATATAGCACATTTTTTTATCCATATTATCCAAAACTGGACAGAATTCAGATAAACATTTTTTCCATATTTTTTTTCCTTTTCCTTTCGAGTAACTTCATGCTTTTCCCCAAAGTATGGGATTTCACTAAGTGGAATTCATGCAAAATTCAGCTGATTTTCCAACTATTTTGGCTATAATACAAAACGATGCAAAATAACAGAAAAGATCAGATTGATTTTCACTAAAGCTACGAGTTTTACCTTTTCCATTATTCAAAAAAATACAGAAAACCAATGCTTCAAATGTTCCCAAGAATTTTCAAACCAGAGAGAGAGAAGCTTCTAACCAAAGTTTCCAATTGATAATGAAAACCACACAAAAACCGGAAAAGCAGCAAAAAGATCAAAGAAACAGACTAAAAATGGGAAAAAAAAGAAACAATAAACAGAAGTAATAATATTACCAAGATTAACCTGACGATTATTGGACAAGCAAGGCTTAACCAGAGCTCGAACCTCCCCTCGCTTGACCGGAGAACCAAGTATCTCTTCTCTGCTCCTTTTCTCTCTCATAGACTCCCCAATCTCAAAAGGTCGAAGCATATGCATCATCTTCTTCTCTCCGTTTTTTTCTTCCGCTATTAAAGAATCAAAGGAATCGAAGAGCTTGATCTTCCTCTTCTCCTTCTTCTTCTTCAATGGAGCCTTACCAGTCCATGGCCGCCCCATAGTCGGCGGCGCAAAGGGCAAATGTGCAGGCTCTCTAATGGCCAAAGGCTTACCCTTAGGCGTCTCAGAATAACTGAACTGGAACTCAAATGGCGCACCTGGTATGAGATAAGAAACCCCTGATTCTCCGATAACCACTGATCGACCGTCCTCCTCCGCCGAAATGACGCCATCAGAGACTGGTTTATAGTAGTTGGTTCCTCTATGTGGAGCTCTGAAAGCCTTCTCCAATGGTGATTTCTCTCGTTCTTGCCTCTTTTTCGGTGGGTATTTGGGAATTGGGATTGGAGGGTTTGGAGGTCTTTTAATGGCGTCGTTTTTGAGAGGAGGAGAAGGGGGAGAAGAGAAGAGGTTAGCACCGGAAAGGCTCGCCATAATAGCCATTTATAAAATAGAGAATCGTGTAAAGAAAATTGATACTAAAGCTCCATGAATTTTTTTTTTTTTTTTTTTGGCAATGGAGCTTTTTCAGTAGTTGTAGACACGTATAAGGATTTGAAGATAACTGGCACACGTGTGCTAATCTATATAACATGAGCTATATGTCCACACGAAATTTTTAGGATGGCGGTCGAAATATCTTCGAGGGTCGTCGGTAGGGGTGGCGACGTTAGGTCGGGTCGGGCGCCGACCCATTTCCAACATTACCTGAATTTATCAAGTCCAGACCTGACGCCTAAGAATAACTGAACTAGACCCGATTCGACCCAAATAGAAAATTAGAATATCTATATATTTAAATATATTTTATCTATTGGGACTTGAAAAATATTACTGAACTCAGACCTAGACTGGACCAGCTGTGTCCAATTTTGGACCAACATCTAAACCCAAATCAACTCTGCTCCGGGTCCTGGGTCGGTTCGGGTAGTGCCAACCCTGAGGATAAGTGTCTCATTCGGTTTATTCAAATAGTCAAATCAATAAATCACTAATGAGAAAAGTTTATAAAGGGTCAATCTTGAAGCAAGGTCCACCTTAAAAATCTACTATAATTAGCCCGACCATCTTGAGATATATTGATATATATATAAAAAATTGTATTATAAATTATGCACCTTTTAATACATTATAGAGATCGTCTATTCTTTAAAATTTCAAGTATTTATAGATTTATTTGTTGATTTGGTCTACACTATTTTTAAGCTTTAAATTTCATAATTAAGGGTAAAAATACATTTTAAGACCATCATCAGGATTTTCGGCACTAGATTGCATCTTTTCGCTAAATTTAGAGGTGCCTTGCTTTGATTGTTTACGGTTACACTTTATACAAACCATACCTATCACTAATCAATGCAAGTGGTTATTTAACAGGGAAAAGAAGTGATTAAAGTCCTAATTAACATTAGAGAATTTAATTTCCTCCTTTTTCGTTTCCCTCAATTGTGAGTAATTTATAATTTTTAGAAAGGTTTTGAAGATGCACTCGAGTTAAACAAAAATTAAAAAGCAAACCTCCTAATTTTTTTCGGAAAAAATTTATATAAAGCCGAGGCTCTAAACAATCAAATTTGAGCCTACCTTAAAAATTTTACTAAAAAAGATTTTTTTGATGTCCAAATGATCATAGGCATGAAAAAAAAAATGGATTTCAAGTTTTGAAAATATTGTATTTTGTAATGTATTTTTTTTATAGTTAATTTTTAAGATTTTCAAGTTTTCAAAGATGTCGTTCTACACTATTTTTGAAGCTTTAAACTTTATAAATAAAGATGAAAATGTATTTTAAAGCTGTCACAAAGATTTTCAGTATTGAAACCACTTTTCTCCCACTATTTGAAGGTAGGCTTTAATTTGATTGTTTAGAGCCTAGGCCCTATACAAACTGCACCCATTAGGCTCTATACAAACTGCACCCATTTTTTTATGCGCAACTGCTGTTATTAATTCAGATATTTTGACTACCTCAATAATTTGTAATGAGTTTGACCCTTTAGATGATATTTTATCTATTTCATAAATGTTTTTCAACAAATTCCTCATGCACGACTTAGTCCAATGATCAATAATCGGGATTAGATATTTCAAGTAAGGATGGTGTTTCTATGGATGCTAATACACATCCAATTTAAATTGATAAGCATAGGAATTAGTAATTTCCTTGAAATGCTAGTTGGGTGCTCTTTTTTTTTTTTCTTTTTTTTTCTTTTTTTTTTTTTATTATTATTATTATGACGATATCCAATGAGAGAGAAAAAGCTATCGGATGAGACCATTTACCTATAATACAAGAGGTCACAACTACAAAAATATAATTTTAAACATAAGTATCCACAGGTCATGTGTCTTTTATTTTAGGGATTGTATGCAACGTATGTAAAATCTTACAGCTTGGGTGTATCATGAAATTCGAAAAAACTTCTTATAAAGTTTGAGCTTGATTGATAGAATGAATACAACAATCTAATTTCACATCTAATAGTCAAGATTAATTGTGATCACCTTGTGCTCAAGATAATGGTCTCATTGTATACTCTTCCTTTATTTTATCAACACTATTAAAAAAACACTACAAAGAGTGTCCATGTTTGCATATATTGAGCATCAAACAGCATACTGTGCATACATATATGACTCAATTTGCATGCATCATGAGTATTTATTTGTGTTGCATCCTTGTGCTTTGTGACTTAGGCATATTGAGGTATGTGTAAATGGAAGATTAATACCACGTGAAGTTCGAACCATACTTTTTCTGTTTATAGCTTCCTCTGTAAGCTGTTTTCCGATGGAAGATACCAGACCAATAACGGCCTTACATACATAATATTGGCCTCACAAACTTAATATGAAAAATATATATATATATATATATATATATGAAATGTGAGATCCATGTAGCATATGAATAGTATAATAAAGTCTCTCTTGCATTCCCCTTATTAATCCAGCGGCCTAGCCATCATGCGAAATTGCAGGTCCCAAAATAAGCTGTCAAAAAATAAATTTCAAACATTACTATAAGGGAAGCATTATATATATATATATATATATATAAAAAAAAAAGTTGTGTTTCATTATTACCATAAGATAGTTGCATGAAATAACTCCCATTTATATATATGAGCTGGCCAGATTTAGATATATGATCCAAGCAAATTGGGACCTTCATGAAGTAATTTGGACAGTAAAGAAGAAGAAACAAATTTTACCGTAACATGAATACTTTACTTCTTTTTTAAAAAAATTTGTTTTGATGAATAAGTTTATATTTAGACCTAAGTATTGGTTTTCAAAAAGGAAACCAAAATCTATGAAAATAAAATGCATTTTACAATAAATATAGGGTTCATTGAAAGCTTACTTTAAAACCATAAAAAACCTTTTCTTTTCTTTACTAACTTTAGTAGCTTTTAGATTTCGTTTGTTTCTAGACAATTTTCCCAAGAAAACCACATTCCAAAACTCCCTCTCATTGTGGAAATCAGAATAATAAAAGGGAAATGTATCACAAAACACTTAAAAGTTGAACTATTTAATATCTTACCCTAGGTGCATCTTGATAAATTCCAAAATCCATTTTGATTTGTCATTTGATGGGCTAATTGAATTTTGATGAAAAAAAAGGATGGGCTATTTGAAATTTGATGGAAAAATATAGTATTAAATAGTTCAAATCTCAAATGTAGTTTGACAAATTTCCCTCAACAATACTTTGGATCGCCATGCTTGTGCTATGTCGTTGTCTAAAAACTCAACCCACTGAAGTGCACAGAGTTGTATTAGAATGGTCCTAGACTTAAAAATTTTGAAACTCAATGACCCACCTAAAAGAGGTAAAATACATGGATATAAACTTTCAAAAGAAATAATTGGAAGGCCTAGTAATTAACCCCAAATTATTTTTTTAAAAAAAAGAATTGGACAAAGGGAAGAAGCATCAATACTACTAGCACTAAATAAATAAATAAATAAACAAACAAATGGAAAGTAAAGCTTACATGGATTTTCATAGACAACTATGCCAGACTTGGAGAAATCACAGTTGACTGGGGCTTGGCCCTTGGCTTTGTAGTAAAGGTTCATTACAACTGAGGCATGGGCCTGGAGATTGTCAGGAGAGTAGCAGCTTCCTCCTTGCTCAACCACTGAGCAATTCATTGCTATGGATTGACAAACATAATCTATGTTATTTCTCAGCCTAAAGTCATCAACACAGGGCCTAGCAATGCACCATGATTCACTCAAATCCAGTGTGGCCTGTTTCAAAACACAAATCTTTCAAAACACAATAGCTATACAGATCATTGGAGAATAAAAGTACTTCAAAAGTTGAAACATATAAGTTCCCATAAACCCTAAATAGTATGATAAGTCTTTGGCCTTTCTTCTTTTTTTTTTTTTTTTTGTAGATGTTGCCCTTAGTTCTTCACTTAATGTGACATACCGGAAAGGGCAAAGTGGTCAGTCAAAATTGATGAAATAAACTCAAATATAAGACCCCTTTACTATTATGGGTGTGAGCTTGCATAGCACTAGCCCGAGTAATGTACAGGAGCCCCCCCTATCCTGAAGTTGTATGCTTCTACTCGCCTCGGCATGCTGCCAAGGCTGAGTACGAGTCGACTTGGCCGAGTTTTCAAACACTGGATAAAACATGTCTTCATGCTTTAAGTACGGTCTATGGCCAAAATGAAGAAGGTCTGGATTAAACAAGTGCTAGAGGAACCTCTATGTACTTCCTCAAAGCAAAACAAGGCAATTACTTTGAAGAATTTACTATTGAATAAGAAGGAACTTTTTACATGTCTAGCCTTCATGCCTTCATATTCTCCCATCATCATCGTCCTTGGCTTCATGTGTGTATCTTTTCTCATAAAGTCTGGCATCATCATCATCATGGATGCATCATTGTCCATCATACGTGGCCTCATCATCATGGGTTCCTCCTTTTTCATCAAATCTAGCCTCATTGGATCCTCATTTGTCATCCTTCCTTCTAAATGATATCATTCATTGAAAAATACATTTGTTTCAAAAGACTTGGCATAAAACAATCTCAAATTATTGGCCAAAATATAAGAACTCATTTGTCATCCATGCTTCTAAATGCGATTAGTCTATCTACTCACTAATAATAATCTCCCTCCTTAACATTCAAAAAATACTCTCTCTCTCTCTAAACATTCAGGAAAGACAAGAGAAATAACGTCTATAATTGGCTTGTAACTGTAACATAAAACAGAAAAGCTAGCATTTACTCACTGACATCTTGATAATAATCTCGGCTCTCCAGTAAATATTAGAGAGAGAACAGTAAAAACAATATGGGATTGTATACAATGAGATCATTTACATTTCATACAAGAAAGTCAAAATTTTTTACAACCTTTTCAGGTGAAATCTAATAGGTTGGCTGTGTCACAAAGTTAAAAAAAAAAAAAAACTTGAGTTCGGTCAATACAATAAATGCAGCTATCAAATTTCACATCCAATGTTCAAGATTAATTGTGACCCCTTGTACCAAAAATAAATAGTCTTATTGTATATTTTTCCAAAACAATAATGGGGTTCATGAAAACAAGAACAATAAGCTCTCTTTATTATTTAAACGACCTCATTTCTTTTATTCTTTCTATGAGACGCTATTTTTCGTGATAAGAAATGGGGACTTCGGACTAAAGACAAGCAATTGTTCTTTCCCTATAGCATTTGGGGAAGTGAATTTTTAGAGAGAAACGCATACGTTGGAAATTTTAGTTCTTAATAAATATTAAGAAGCACCAATTTGTGGTTTAATCAAAACATGAGCATTTTGGGGTGCCTTTCTTGTTATGATTTAATTCCTATTTCTTTTGTTTTTCTTTTTTTTTTTTGAAGGGGGCGAAGAGAGTGTGTGTCCGTACATATGCTGGAAATTTTTTTTCTCGATATCATATTAAAAAATACCAAAATTGTGAATTTCTATCAAAAGGAGTTAATTACTGAAACATCGTGAGGGATTCTTTCACGTTATAAATGCATTAATAATTGTGTGTGTGAGAAAGAGAGAGAGGTGAATATTTAGTTCTCAATGTCGTACAAAAAAATATCAATACTGTGAATATTTATGAAAACGCATTAATTAATTGAAAACTGTGGGAAGGCTTTCTTCTTGTAAATTCATTAGTAACTCTTAAAGAACTATTTCTCTTACAAGAACCACTATTTTTCTATTTTCCTTTCTAATCAATTGCAGCCAGCTCAAAAAATAATAGTGAAAATTATCAATATACCCATATGAGATAAATTATTTATCATTGTACTAATATTGTTTGACTTAATTTCAAAATGGCCATAAAAAACTAGATGATGTTAAGTTGGAATAGTACCAACTGTGAAATGCTAAATAATGCATCTCTCATGTGGGTATTTTTGATAAATTTCCCAAAACTAAGTTAAAAATATTGAGCATGGACTCTCTCTCACACATAAACACACCATTGTCCCCTCTCTGTCAACAATCACCTCTCCCTCTCTCTCTCTCTCCCTCTCTCTCTCTCTAGGAGACAAGAACTAAGACATTGAGAAGAGAGAGAGAGTATGGAAACAATAATACATTAAGAGAGAGAGAGAGAGAGAGATCAGGAGATAATAATACATTCAGAAACAGAGAGCATAGCAGTCATCAATAAATTAACAGAGAGCTAGAGAGCAAAGGATACATTAAGGAACAGAGAGAGAGAAAAAGAGCAGAGGAGACAACAACACATTAAAGAATCCACTGGTCAAAACAATCCACATTGACATTGCAATAACAAATCGTTTGGGTGGAGAGAGAGAGAGAGAATAATGGAAACATATTCCTGAACATTTAGAAGTCATAGGCATAAACAACCCACAATGACAAATGCAACACTAAATAGCTCAAGAAGAGAATCCACCTCAGTGTTCCTACGAAAGCCAAAGAACCAACAACCCAAAACCCAAGTGAAAATTCACCCCAACAAATCCAAAATGATAAGAGCTTGAGAGAGAGAAACACCATAATGAACTAACTTGTTTGAAACAAAGCTAGATAGAGAAACACAGTAAAAAAACTGAAAACTAACTGGAAATCCAAAGAGAAAAGAATAAACTACAATACACAAAGGCCAGTAAACACCAACTTCAAATGTAAAGCTAGAGAGAGCAATACTAAGAAATTGACTAGAAATTCAAAAAGAAAATGAATCAATATCGAACCTGTGGTAGTTGCAGAGCACAGCAGAAAAGCAGCCACAAGAACAACGAAGGAGGCAATCAGCTTCGTCATGGCTTCTTTCTTCTCAATTCTCTTTCTCTCTCCTCAATTCTCTCTCTAACAAACTTAGTGAGAAACTCGTGCTATTTGGTGGGTTTTATAGAGGAGAGATGTAACGGTTTTGTAGTGGAGTTCCTCTGTATATCCTATTATTGGAATTACTTCTTCACAAATTCAAATAAGTCATGATGCAAAATCTCACCAAAAAGCATAAAATTACAGAGAATAATCCCCATTTTTCTGTGCATGTCTGACAATGGTTTTGTGGTCCCTAATTCCTAGGCCGCGTGGTTTTCTGTTATCACCCACAGTTTTAAATCGCCGGAAATATGTGACTCTGGTTTTCCAGTCAATTTTCTGGCCAAGGTTCCGGCGAAGACGCTGTTTTTCTTATTTGGGAGAGTAATTAGATGGGTTAGTGTTGAGAATTTCGAAATAGGGGATGTAATCAATGGTTTATTTGGTTGGCTAATAATATAATTTATTGGGATGATTTGCTAGAATAGTTAAAGACCTGCTAATTATGGATTAGTGGGTTACAACTGGGGTAGATTATCTCTCTCTCCCTCTCTCTCTCTAGTAACCTAAAAAAGCATCTCTCTCTCTATGAATTTGTCACCAACTAAACCTTTTCAGCGTCCCAACTCACCAACAACCTCAAGGAAATAATTTAAGTGAAACTTCCTGATAGCTGAAAGGCATGCCATCTCAAAAATATAAGACTGTGATTAATTGTACTTATTGTCTTAATTTTAAATTCCTTCAAGAAAACACGTACACCCTCCACCTTCCATTGCTGAGATGAACTCATAAAGAATTTCTTGTCTATACTCCTTACCTTTAATCTCGAACCAAACCTCGTTTATACATGGATTATCAAATCCATCGTAATACAGACTCTGGGTTCAGTTCGTAATCTCATTTTCGTAGGCTTATCCATGAAGATGGGTTTACTTGCACTTGATGAGATAGGAAACAAGAGCTCAGGCTCCCAAAAAAGCATAAGAAGGTTCGGGAGCTTGATCCATATGGGAACAGTATGGCGAGACAGTTGAACAGAAAGGTCCCACTCCTGAAAAATTAAGCACTTCTTGTTCATAAACCATGGACCACTAGTACAAACTATTTTCATCTCTTTTTTTGAATGGAACCGGAAAACAAGAAAACCGTCATCCATAACAAAAAAATTCAAGTTTACGTTTCAGTGTTCACATCTTCTCTCCACGTCTTCTGCAACGTATCTTTCACATATGTCCATTTAAGTCGACGCTCCAAAAAAGAGCCCAATAAACAGTTATCCTATAAGAAAATACACCGTTCTAGAATTCGTAAAACATGGAGTAACTCTTAGAAGTTTTATCAGGTTTGAAGTGAATGAGGCATCCTAATTGGGGGGAGAGAGAGAGCTGAAAAACAAGCTAAATCGTTGACCAATATTTTGAAACTCGAACAACTTGATTCAGAATCGGCGGAGACACCATCCGAAAGGCTAGTTGTATTGACAAAGTTGGGTTTATTAGAAGGTTCTAATTGAGTATAACAGAAAGAATGGTGGTACAACAATGAATATTGGAATGATACTAAGAAATATGGTCCGAATAAAAAATTTAAAAAGATATTAGTAAAATCACTAATAAGTGATTTTCATTTATTTTTTAACAAATTTTATGTGCTTCCTTTTTCATGAGCTTTTATGAGCTACTACATTACTCATGTGGAACCATTCAGACTCACCCGTGTTAGTTTGGCTTTGGCAAAGGCCGATTCCCGAGCCTAAGCAATTTCACATTGATATTAACTCAACTTGTTTGGCTTGAAAGTATTTCTTATTAAGGAAAGTATAGTGGGAGTCAGCGGGCACAAGAGCCCTCCATCCCAAAGATGAACGTTGTGCAACATAAGTACGATATGGACGGTGATCATATTTTGGCCTAGGATAAATCTATTAAAAAAAATTAGTTAAAAAATATATCTTTAAAATGTATTTTAAAAGGGGGCGTGGCGCATGTGTACATATGAGTCGGCTGACTCAGAAACCTCATCCTTCTTATAAACCATTCATTGCATATCATATATGCGAGGGAAAGCATGCTGTGCATTCGAACCATAACGTGTACGATCATCTCAACAGACGATGGAAACAATAACCATCATAGCGCCTATTGTGTGTCACTGCTCCATCAATCACAATAATGGTACATCTCCATGGTCCATTCTTCAGTTGAGAGGTGGAGATGATAGTATACTATTACAACCGAGATGAAAAAACAATTGTACATTAGGCATCAAATGAAGATTACATGAAGCATTTTAGAGAGAGAGAGAGTTACAAACTTACGGGCAGTTCAAGGAAATTGAGACTCATTTGTACATGGGATTCATATACTGCCATTCAAATTGATTAGTAAAAACAACTATGAAGGAAATCTTCCTTCTTCCTAATTTGAAAACAGGAAACTAAGACCAAAACGTTATACATTATCATGTCAGATTTGAATCGTGCTGGATTTGAACACAAAATCCCTTGAAACCATGAATAAAGTCAATCTCATCTACCATAAAGCCTTTTCTACCTTGCGCGATTCTTTCAAATCAAGTTTAGACCTGAATCTTAACAGTTAAAGCAGTGGTTCTGTCAATGGAGATGCCAGGTGCTTCAAAAACCACCAACACCCGAAAATGTGCCCACCCCATGAACAAACAATCAACCCCACTTCGAGCTCAAAAAACCCGCCTCAAAGCCACTCCAAATCATTCTCTCTTCCTTTCAGTCATAAACCTGATGGTGCATTCCTTCTAACTACAAGTCATACCTCTTCAAGGTCCAACAACTCAGTCACCTCAAAACCATCCTTCCCAATCATTCTCTCTCTCTCTTCATTCAAATCTAAAACCTTATCACGCATTCCTTCTCTCTCAAATGCCCCAGTCATGATCATATACGTCTCATCGTTCGGAGCACATTTCTTATCTCTCATCCGAGCATAAACCCTCTCCATCTCCATCAAGTCTTCTGCCTTAGCACAGGCAGATATCACTGAGTTGAAAAATGTTGTGTTCGGTACTATTTCCAATTTCTCAGCCAATCTAATGATAGTTACCACCTTATGGAAAAGACCCGCATTGCTATACCCATTGATCAGACAGCAAAAGGTCTTTGTATCAGGCTTCATACCCTCAGCTCTCATTTGATCGAAGGCAAGCTCCATATGCTTCGCATCACCCGAGTCAGCAAAAGCCTCGATTATGTTGTTATAGGTGGAGCTGGTCCATGGATATGAGAGCTTCCTCATATACTCCATAACTGCAGTCATCTTGTCATACATCTTTTTCTTTCCATACGCTCCAATAAGAATGTTGAGAGTTCGGGTTTCGGGTGAGATACCAATGCTCCTGAATCTCTCATACCATCTTTCCATCTCTTCTACCTGACCCACGTTGCCAAAGAGCCCCAAAATGATATTCATGGTCCATACATCTGGGTTACATGAACTGCTTTCTAGCATTTTAGAAAGAAGTTCCTCCATTTTATCAAACATTCCAGCCTTTCCATAGCCCCCCAACACAACATTTAGGGTTACAGTGTTTGGGGTTATTCCACGATCTGACATCTCGGCTAACAAGCGGTCGACAAGTTCAAAACGAAAAGCTTCAACACAAGCCTTTATGAGATTAGTGTATGTGTATATATCAGGCTGGCATAAAGGGAGAGTCTTCATTTTTTCAAGGATTAAGAAGGCTTGATCGATAAGGCGGCTTCGGCAATAGGCAGCAAGTAGGGCCGTGTAGAGTTCTGAAGTGGGTTCCAAACCTTCTTCATTCATTAGGCCAAAGAGTCTTTGGGCTTGCTCTGGTTGGGCTGATTTACCAAGAAGAATCAAAAGTTTGATGTATGTTCCCTCTCTTGGCTGGTAGAATGGCTGCTCTCTAAGCATGTCAAACACCTTCACAAAGTCAAAGGGATAGTTTAGTGGTTTCAAAACTGGTTTAGCTTCATTATCAGAGGTCTATATACCGAAATGCCAACAAGGATCAAAAGTATTTTGTTAACAAAGAAAATTGTCAATATACCAGAAATGCCAACAAGGATCAGAAATATTTGGTTAACAAAAAAAATTGCAATAGCTCGAAAGAATTATATCTAGTACAGGAGACCAACCATAGTATTAGAGAGCATTTTTCAAAAAGAAAGTTACAAAATAGTTTTTCTAATGGCATGCAAAAAAGAAAAAGCCCAAAAGGACATGGTTGGAAGTAGTGAAAAAAGATGGGGAGTTAAGTTATGGTCTTACAGAAGGTATGGCCCTTGAAAAGTATAATGGCATACCAGGATTCGTGTAGCCGACCCCATATAGTTGGGAAAAGGCTTTAATGATGATGATGATGATGCAAAAAAAGAGAAAACTACATTGGCTGAGGTTTCAAATAGTTCTCAACATTTCTGTCAATCTACAAGTACTACTGCTTGGACTTTGAATTGTGCTCTCAAAATCAGTGCTTGAAAACCCAGATCGGCCGGGCAAATTGGTCGTTTGGGAACCGGTCCAGATCGGTGGACTGGTCGGTTCCGGCAGATTTGGAATTAAAAAAAGAGGAATGATCCTATGAGTCCCTCCCACACCCATGTGTGTAGGACCCCAAAGGATCACCATCAAATTTGGCACAGATCTCTAGAAAAGTTATCACATGGGTGTGGAACTTGACTTTTCTAGATATCTGTGCCAAATTTAATGGTAATCTTTTAGGGTCCTACACACATGGGTGCGAGAGGGTCTCATAGGATCATTACTCTTAAAAAAATTGCTAAATTTTTTAAAAATCTAGTTTTTTATGTTCCCAAAAAAATGGGGGTATTGCATTATGGATTTTCATTATTTTAGCAAAAATATATAAATACCGACAACCTTTTCATGTCTTAATATTTGTTGACCATTACATGCATTTCGTACTCAAGATGAAGTTTAAAATGCAACTCATTGCAATAAAATGGATCTATAAGAGCATATAGTGATCAGGAAATTATTGTTATCATGAATCAATATGGTAATTTGAAGTTCAAGCCATTTTACAAAATGACACTCGTATATATTAAGCTCCCTGATTACAACAACCTGATGACTCTACTCTAAAAGAAAGAAATAATGAGCTGATCGAGAAATAATGAGCTGATCGTACACAGACAATAGTTAACAGTCCCCCTGTATGCACATCATGGTCATTTAGCTGACCCAAAGATTTGGCGCTACTCACTAATTTCTGTGAATATCAAATTGAAAAAATATTAAAAATATATAATGTTATCATGACAGAAATCAATATAATAAATCATTTACTACAACAATAGTCATTATAGTTACTCTAAAAAAATAATAATAATTATAGTTTCATTAATTATAATTATGATGATTACATTTATTATCAAGATTTTATTAAAATACTAGTATTGTGTTTTATTATTGACAATTTTATAAATCCATACAATATATTTTATACAGAATCTTCAAATAAGGCTTTATACTTAGTGAATTAATGATTTTTTTTTTTTATGGTTTTTTATTGTTTGGTCACCAATTCGTGTGTTCTTAAAATTAATGATGTCTTTATAATTTCGTTTTCTAAATTATAATAGACATGGCCATCTTATTCCATTACAAAGCAACAGTTCTGAAGCACTAGCAAAACAATATATATCAATCAAGAGGTTTTTTTTTCTTTTTGTTTTGATGTGTTAACTGTATATTAGAATTAAAGGAGAATGCAAACAATCAAGAGGTATCTAGATATTATTTTATTCTACTCATGGAAAACAATAAGAACAATCTCTGACAAAATCAGTAAACCTTCTTTTTCTTCCCCCCACCCAAAAAAAAAACCCTCTTTTCTTCTACAATAAGGAACAACGGGTTCAATTGATCTACAATAAATAATACAGAGGACGTTGTCCACAACCAGCGAGAACTGATCATTTCCTAATGCTCACCATGTACTTCACTTGTTGCTTTGAATCTAATTGAATCACCTTCATTCCAAGGAAGAGTTCTGAGAATTTATTTCGTAGAGCATGAACACTCACCATGACTGGGTAGTTTACTTGAATATTTCTTCAAATTATGTTGCGCAAGTTTATTAATCCCCGGCCTTCATCAATCACTAAGGGTTTTGCCTCACGCAATAAACAGTAGCTAAATCACACAAATCAGCACCCCAAAGTAGGATTTGTCAATATTCTCAAGATTATGTAACTTGCACTCCATCTATGAAATCTAATCAGCATGACATTCAACTCTAAAAGTGAATGGTTTCCTTCTATATCAAACTTCTTATCAGTGTGATCATTGATTCCAGTATGCGCCACTTCTATATCAAACTTCTTATCAGTGTGATCATTGATTCCAGTATGCGCCACTTCTATATCAAACTTCTTATCAGTGTGATCATTGATTCCAGTATGCGCCACCACGCAACAAATAGTAGTAACCGCTATCTTCAGTATTGAATTGAACTACTCTCTCACAAGAACAATGGAAATATAAAATGGATCAGCTGTGCTCGACTTGCCTTTATTACAGCTACATTTCGGCTTTTTCTCTACATTTCAAATAAATTTCTTAAACATGAACATAACTATCATAGCTTCTACTACCGAGAGTTAAAAAATAAGTAAGCTCCAGCTCTTTTCAGTAATATTTATCATTTTTCTTCCTTCTTTCCATGCAATCTAGTCTCTACTACAGTCCCTCAAATTGGTGTCTTCACAACAAGTGTTGACACACAATTTCCCTTCATCTGTTTTGCACTACATTCGTTCTCTCTTACTAAAATTAAATTTGAATTATCTCCCAAATGAGGAGGGACTCTTTTCTTCTTCTTTTCGTTTTTTATTTCTTTTCTTCTTTTTTTTGAGCAGTACATGTGGAGAGACTTTCCATCTCCCCAAAAGATTTCCTTGTTAGTGGATAAACCATATCCCCCAATTTTTTGCCTCAAACACCAATTCTTTTCATCATGTACAATGCAATGTGTGCAATGTGGTTTTATGTTAGAGTATTGTCCCCAAATGACTTGAGATAAACTAAACTTGTTACTTCTCCCAAATCTCTTGTGCTCTGTTTGCCTTCAATAGCAAAGAAAAAACAGAAGAATTGTAAGTTGAACAAAATCAGAGAGTTGAGGAAATCCCTGCATTCTGATAATCCCTTGACTGTAGATTTCAAGTTGGGGTTATTAAGTTGCTCTAATACGTAAAACCCAGGGTTGGAAAAGAAGTAACTTTCTTTTATCTTAAATCACTGTCTCAACCTTTGCCTCCTCAATTCTTCCTCTACACACTCACTCCTACTTTTCCCCAATGTGAGAGTTAAGGATATTGGCAATAAGGATTCTCCTTTTCCTTTGGTTTCTTCCTAGCGTTGATTCCAAAGTCAACACACAAGCACATATACAGAGGACTCAATTGAATGCTGAAGCGACATATTGCACATGAGATGCACAAGAAGGAAGGATGAAATGGTTGGACTTTCAAATCGCAATCCAAATTATGAATATAACTAGGCATAGAGTTGAGGTTTTTTTGGGCACCTACTCTATCAAACCATACAAAATAACATATCTGCCTTTGATTTCTTTGTTACATGTAGAAGTGAAGATCGATCAATATAATACTATTGATACAAACAGAATCCTTTCAAGAGAGGCTTTTATTAAGTTTGGATTTTCAAATTAAACCCAACAAAGACATGAATATAACAATTACTTAGCCACACATATTAAGAAAGGGGACCAATAAAACCAACACCATAAACAAATAACTGTAAGCTCACTGCTTCCAACTATATCATGCCTCCTTTCATCTATGTCTCATGTAACAAAATTCGAACACAAAGCAGAATTTAAGACATTGGAAACAGAATTGCCCAAAGAACAAAGGCAATGACATTAATTTCCCGTTTCTCTAGAAAATTGCTACATAGATACAACTCACTGGAAAATACAAGAAAATCAAAAACGCAAAACTGTATGAAGACAATAAACAAGGAGGAAAGTATACCAAGCTTCAGAAACAGAAAAAATTAAAAAAATGAAAATAAGTCATACAGGTCTCATTTCTCAGCAAAATTGTGATGTTGGTATTGAAATTACACGCAATTTAAGATATTTCAGATACCTGAAATAAGAATTAGAGGAGAGAGAGAGAGAAAAAGAGAGAGAGAGAGAGAGAGAGCGAGAGAGAGAGAGAGAGAGAGAGAGAGAGAGTAGAGGAGAGA